TACTGCAACTCCTTCACGTTCTCCGGTACTTTCCATTTCTTGACGGCTTCAATCTTCCGCGGGTCCACGTGTATGCCCTCGGCACTCACCATGTGCCCGAGAAACTGCACCTTCTTCAGGGCGAAGTCGCTCTTCGACAGCTTCACGTAGAACTTGTTTTTCCGCAGGATCTCAAACACCTTCCGTAGATGCTCCATGTGCTCCTTCATGTTCTTGGAGTAGATCAAAATGTCGTCCAGGTACACCACCACGCACTCATCCAACAGGGGCCGTAGGATGTGATTCATCTCCGCTTGAAACGTTGCTGGTGTGTTGCAGAGTCCGAACGGCATCACCAAGTATTCGTAGGAGCCGTATCTGGTACGGAACGCCGTCTTGTGGATCGAGTTGTCTGCCATCTTGGTCTGCCAGTAACCCGACCGTAGGTCCAGCTTCGAAAAGACTGTTGCACCGCGCAGTTGGTCCAATAGGTCGTCTATGGGGTATTTGTTTTTAACTGTCTGTTTGTTCAGTGCGCGGTAGTCGATGCACATCCGTAGACTGCCGTCTGGTTTTGGAGTAAAGAGAACTGGTGCACCGTAGGGAGAGGTGGATGGGCGGATCAGTTGTCTGTCCAGTAGATATTCGATCTGTTTCTTCATGTCTGTCAGTTCGGTCGGACTCTGTCGGTATGGTGTACGTGAGATGGGTTTCGCACCTGGTTCCTCCACGATCTCGTGCTCGTGGGTGCGTGCAGGGAGTACGCCTGCAGGTAGGTCGTCAGGCATTATATCCTTATACTGGTCCAAGACCTCCTTCACTGCTGCAGGTAGTTCTGCGTTCGGCTTCTCCTCCTCTGCTGCTGCCATAACCAGTGCTAGGTATCCCGTGTTATTCTCGTTCACCATCTGTTCAAATCGTGCCAGTGTCGTTTTAGGAACGCTCCCTGTATCCGTCCAGCTTCGCAGCTCCACTCGTTTCCCGTTGTTGTATATGCACGCCTTCCTGTTGACCCAGTCGATCTCGGGGATGAACCGCTTCAAGAAATCTCGCCCCAAGATGAAATTTGATCCCTTGATGTTCGTGATCGGCAATGTCGACTTCCACCTTAGCGCCCCTATGTGAAGCTGCACTGATGCTTTGCCGTGGATGGGAAGTTTCGTACCATCCACCACCTGAAGGAGCAGGACCTGGCGTGGGGAGGGGGTCTACCTGGATAGGACCTGGCGCAAGAACGAGCGGTGGGGGGGGGCGAGGGGCAGTGCGGTAGGGAAAGAGACGGTAAAAGGGGACGGACTCGTCAAAGGTGACGTCCTGAGACGGAAAGACACGGCGCGAGGCGGGGTCGTAAAACTGCCAGCCAGGCGCGTCAAGGACAAAGCCAAGGAAGACGCAGGGAATGGCGCGAGCGGAGAGCTTGTCCGATGTGGTATCGCGGACAAAGGCACGAGCACCCCAGACCCGGAAACGCGACGCATCGCCAACTTTCCCCGTCCACAGCAGTGTGGGCGAGGTCTCCGGCAAGGAGACACGGGGCCAGAGGTTGAGCTGATGCGCGGCGTACCGGACCGCAAACGACCACAAAAAATGGGGGGCAGCCGCATGGATCATGGAGGTACGAGCGACCTCCATGACTAAGCCAATGCGGCGCTCAGCAACCCCATTCTGCTGCGGAGAGGCCGGAAGCGTGAACGTCTGGCGGATGCCGTGCTCCGCACAGAAGGCTGCCAAGAGGTCTGAGGAGAACTCACCACTCTTGTCAGAGTGCAGACGCAGGACTTGAAAATCCGACTGGAACCGCTCACGGAGCTGGAGACGAACAGCGCGGATCCAGGGGATCAAAACATCAGGGACCTCCCCCTTGCGCTGCAAGGGGAAGACCGTGGTGTAACGCGTGTAGTCGTCGACGACCAGCAGGAAGTACCGCTCGTGGCCATGTCCACGGACGCGGGCTGGGCCCCACACGTCTAGGTGGAGAGTCTGCAGTGGAGCCTCTGTGGGAGGGAACGAGGAGTGAGGAGCGGCGCGCTGCCGCCCCTCGACGCAAGGAATGCAGGGCGGCACAGGCGAGGGAGGGAGGGCAGGCAGAGACTTGGGAAGGCCAGAGACCAGGAAGCGAGAGTGCATGCTACGAAGGCGAGGCAGAGAGGGTTGACCAAGGCGGTGGTGCCACAGGAGAGTGTCGTGCGATAGCCGGCGACACTCACGCTGGGTAGCTACCTGAGCAGACGCGTACAGCTGGGGAGACTAAGGGGTGGAGCACGACGCAGTGGTGAGAGTGTACAGACTAGACCCAGGCGCACGTGTGAACGTGGCCGAGTGACGGCTGGTCCGGAAGCACGTGCAGATCGCCACACGTTGTCCTCCAAGAGTAAAGGTGTCAACTCAGTGATCCTGCGTTGCTCACCAAGTTTGTAGAGAACGAGGGGAGGTGGAGACCAGACAGCTCATCAGACGGGACCGCCGGACACGGAAGCACAGTGGAAGACCGTGCAAGCATTGGGCACCCAGAAGGGTCAGCCAGTGAGACAGGAACAGGTGCAGGGAGGGGAGTGACTGTGGTGCTGTCGCGAAAGAAACAGCGGGAAGCACCAAAAGTCAAGTGTGAAGGTGTGCAAGGCCTATGCGGACGCAGTACCAGGAGGAGCAGACTCACAAGCACCTAGTGCCACAGGCGCTATACCTGTGGCTATACCGGGGTCAGGCGGCACACACGAGCACTAACAGTCAATACATACATGGCAACAAGAATAGCCTCATAGTCAAGATCAAAGATAGGTACATCACGCCTAAGCAGGTCTGCCCAGTTGGGGAACTCAGTAGCATCAGGAGACTTGATGCGCCAGGCGTCGCTAAGCCGAGCGAAGCAGCGGTACTCAGTGTGAAACCCTGTGCACTGGCGACCAGCGCGGGGACTTGTGCGAATGATATAGGGGCAGCGACCAGGACCCCCAGACGCCCCACGCCCGGCATACCAGACAAGAAGCGGCTGGGAAGTGGGGGTCTGGCGCTGACGCTGCTGCTGCTGCTGCTGCCCCTGGCCACCACTGGTGTCACCCAAGCCCCCACCACCGCCGCCACCACCACTCCCCCCTCCACCACCACCGCCGCTGCCACCGCCACTGCTCTCGGCACCACCACCGCCCCCACCACTACTTCCACCCCCACGACCACCGCCACTACCTCCACCGCCCCCGCCGCCTCCACCACCGCCCCCTCCACCGCCACGTGCGCCACCCCTGCCAGCCTTGCCCGCCCTGAAGCCGCTGCGCTTCCCACTCGGAGCGGAAGCAGCTGCGACCTTCTCAGCACCAAGGAGGTCGACAGCAGCAGCTGCGGAGGCGTAGGAGGGGGTAAGAGGGGAGGGGGAGCACCCCTCAAAGAGGGGAGTGCGGGGAGTACCACGAGCAGCACCTACATCTAGAATGTTCTTCTCGGCTGCTTGGAGGTGCTTCTCGATTTCGTCGACAGCGAGAGAACGGGGGTCAAGGGCGAGGAAGTGGTCCCTGACAAAGCGAAGAGTGTCAGGGAGGCGGGTGATGAGGAAGTAGAGAGCAAAGTACATCGGGGGGTGGTTCTCTGCGAGGAACTCGGCTGGAAGGGCGGCACGAAGGCGAGTGTCACTAGCGCGTAGGTGAGAGATGAGGTCCTCAGCGGTGGTAAACAAGGACAGGTCGGGGAACACGTAGGGTAGCATAAGTCGACCGAGGTGTGCAGTGGCCGGGGAAGAGTAGCGGGCAACTACAGCGTCGTACAGGGCCTTGGCAGTCTTGTGCTGGCTAAAATGTGCGCGCAGTATGATCGGCAGATAGTTGCGAATAGCTAGGCGCACAACAACATCGCGGGTCTGCCACTAGGAGCGGTCTAGAGCATGCTCAGTGTCAGCAGAAGCAACGGCAGTGCCAGACACGTAATCGAACAGGGAAACACCGTCCTTGGCATCAGCCAGGAGGAACAGTTGCAGGTCTTAAGCGGCGCGCAGGCCGGCAACAGGCTGCGCGGGCAGCTGACACGGCGCGCGGGGCCGAAAACGGGTTGCACGGGCTGCTTAAGCGGCGTGCGCGGGGAAAAAAAAAAAAGGACCGCGCGCGTGCAGCCGAGGCGCGCACGGGCAGCAGGCAAGGCAGGCAGGCAGTCAAGGCGGTAGGTGAGGTAACGCGGTAACCGGTGGGCCCTAATCTTAGGTCCTAAAGACCTACTGCTGTGATACCATTTTAGAAACTTAGGCATGAGTGACTTGCAATGTCGAGAGATTTGGTACAAGGAAGAAACATAAGGGGTCCCCACAGTATCTACCCCACTACAGCCTACCCAAAACTATAACACATATATATATGTTTGACACAGAGCTGTGAGCTAGCCCGCAACAAACGGTCCACCCTGGCCGGCCCCTAGGTTCATAGAAATACCAGCTCCTCCCATCTCCCAAGCACATTGATTTTCGGTTCTTTCAACCACAGACCTCACCGCTCAATCCATGCCGCCAACAGCATTCTCGCATGTGCGACATGACAGTCATCATGCATATTGCACATGCAACGGCCTTCTCCACACCATCTTCCATTCAGGACATGTAAATTTTTATAAGTGTGTAACCCTTTTCAAAATTGCGTATTGTGAAAGTGTAGCGATTGCTAACGCACCAAAGGCAGCGTACCATCGCTACTCGCCCTCTTTTGGTTACAAAAGAGGGGGTTGAGGCCATTCGGCCTCACCCACGTTCTTCTTTTCAATTTCGAAGTTTGAGTTTCCCACCCACCCACCCATGTAGTAATTATCTCTAAGATTCTTGCTGTAATCGTAGTTATCATGGGACGAGATTGATGTACCGTACTCATACCCATATGAAATGAAGCACGATGCCTTTATAAGTTGCAGAAAGCAAGCTTTCACAATCTTCCTTTTCAGGATTGTCTCGATCAGGTCCGGTCATCAATCCAAAGCCTTCTGTTTGGGCGTCCGTGGGGGATTCCGCTCCCAGGGATTCCATTTATAGTCCTCTTCAGTTTGGGGTATTCTCGTCAATACCCCGAACGCGGCTGGTTACGCATTTGCCCGGATCCGCCCTTCCCCGAACCAGGGGACATTGGGGCCGACGAGCCGTACGGGGCGGCCGGCACTGGTGGGCGTATTCCGTACGAGGTGGTCATGCCGCCGGCCATGCCTCCGCCCATTCCGCCGCCCATCCCGCCGCCCATCCCACCGCCCATTGCCCCAGGCAATCCCATCCCGCCTCCTGCTGCTCCTCCTGCTCCAGCTGTAGCATTGGGATTGGGGGGTGTCATTGGGCTGCTGTAGCTTGAAAACTGCTGGTGGGGAGGGGGGACAGGGGAAGGGGGGAGGGTGTTTGGTAATGAGAGAAGGAACGAGAAGGGGATATCAAGTATCAAGGCATTTTAGACATGCATTCAGCACAATATACATTATCTGGTTGAGCTGAGACCCATAATCCATGTACCTTCCACTAACCCCCTGGTAGGGCATCCCATGCCCGAATAGGTGCAGGCTGCTGTGACGAACAGTACTTGCCGACTGAATGACTAAACCACTGAGCTAAACACGTTACCTGGTTCAGCTGCGACCCATAGTCCATGTACCCTCCGCTAACCCCCTGGTAGGGCATCCCAGAATAGCCGCTTCCTGTAAAAGGCAAGAGATGGTGGGGTGGGGAGGGGATGGAGTGTAAGAGGATAAAGGGAGGGAGGGATGGAAAAGTGGAGATCAGTTCAGTACAGCCTACAGGCATCAGTAGTAAGAGCCTTTGAGGCCAAAGGTAGAAAGTGCGATTTCTTTTTGGGTTTTGGAGAATTTTACTGGCGGCGCGGCACAGGAGTTGGAAGCAGAAACCCTCCGGGTGCCCAGGTTCGGCCTCAGCCCTCCAGGTTCGGCCTCAGCCCTCCAGGTTCGGCCTCAGCCCTCTAGTTGGAGGCCAAACCCCTCCAACATCACTGCTTTGCCGATTTTGAGATGTCTCAGAAGCCAGCAGCTTCCTTCAAGCACTTCTCCTGGCATTTACCATTCACCCGGGCCTAGATTTGAGAATTCCCAAAAGTGACTCAAATATGCCACCGCCCATGCAGTGCCGTGACGTTCCATCTCAACACCCCTGCCTAATATTCCGGTTTTGAAAACGTTTGAAAACTCGGTGGTCAAACAGAGTCGGGTTCTGCATTGTTCGAGTCTTCTGCATGCAACACCCCTACTAGTAAGTTATTAACGACCAGCAGAAGTAAAATTCTACTCCACATACACCAGATATGCTTATAACAAGTACGGGTCTTGAGAGTCTTTAGACTGTCAGTCCCAGTTTTTTTACCTCGAACGTAGCAGGAGGGGATGAAGTTGAACGTTCCAAAACTACAGACTTGCCGGGGGCATAACTTGAGTGTACTGCGAACCCTCTAAATTAAGAGGAGTGCGAGAACAAGGAAAGCTAAAAACTAGAAGAGACACATAAGGAGCACTCAAGGACTCAGAAGGAGTGCGAGCACTAACAAGAGAAAGGCTTATGCCAACAAGAGACACTAACCGTAGCGACACCCTGAGACCACGAGGAAGGTTGATGGATGTTAATATTTGATGCCAAATTAATTCAAACAATGATCCTCACTCACCTGCCTGCCTGCCTTCTGCCTTTTCAGGGTAAAAACGAACCCACTCGGGGATAGAGAGAGGGAGCGACATAGAGAGAGGGACACGGAAAGGCCCCACCCCATCCAAGTAGTGAATCAAGATCACCTGTCTGCTGCACCCTCCTTGAACTCAATCTCAAGTTTCCAAAACAGAGCGACCACTAGAGCGCAGAGAGCGAACGCAGGAACATTGTGCCAGAGTCAGGAGAAGCGCCACATACTCTGGAACGGTGCGCCAGCTAGCATGTTTGGGTGGCGGCGGCGGCATTAAGCTAACGATGAATCAACAAGGGCAACTAAGGGGTAGAGCGACTAGAAAGGCCGAGCAAATCCTCTCTCACCTGCCCGTCTGCTGCAGCTTGCACACTTCTGAACTGAATTTTCAATCAAGAAGGAGAACTAGAGGGTAGAGCGACTAGAAAGGCCGAAAGAGACAAAAAAAGGATTAAAAAAAAAGGATAAAAAAAAAAAAATCATATCATTCCAAAGGCAGGAGAAAAGGTTTGCCGGAGACCCTGGAGGGAAGTGCCACGTGCAGCGCAGCACTGCAATCCCTCTCCACTTATCACACACACTAGCAGAGGCAATGGCGATCTGAGCCTTGAGGCGCTCCACATCCCGAGTAGAGGCAATGAAATTCTTCTCCATGGCTCCACCAGGTATAACCGTGCTGCACTCCCTTTTACCGCACTGCAATCCCTCTCCACTCATGCTTACTACCTTGGCTCATCATGGGCGGCAGGTTGGCGATTTGCGCCTTGAGAGACGCTCCACGTCCCGCGCGGAAGCAATGAGATTCTTCTCCATGGCGCCCCGCTGCTCCACCAGACGTAACCTTGCTGCACTCCCTCTTACCGCACTGCAATCCTTCTCTCCACTCCACACTCATGCTTACTACCTTGGCTCATCATGGGCGGCAGGTTGGCGATTTGGGCTTTAAGGCGCTCCACATCCCAAGCAGACGCAATGAGATTCTTCTCCATGGCTCTGACCACACTGCACTCCCTCTCACCACACTGCAACCCCTCCTCCTCTCTCACCCACTACCTTGGCTCATCATAGGCGGCAGGTTGGCGATCTGAGCCTTGAGATGCCGAGCAGAGGAGATGGGGCGCTTCACTCCCTCTTACCGCACTGCCATCATGGGCGGCAGGTTGGCGATCTGAGCCTTGAGGCGCTCCACGTCCCGAGCAGACGCAATCAGGTTCTTCTTAACGACTCGACCAGGTCTCGCTGCACTGCTTCTCCCCTGTTACCGCGCTGCAATCCCTGTCACTACCTTGGCTCATCATGGGTGGCAGGTTGGCGATTTGCGCCTTGAGACGCTCCACGTCCCGAGCAGAAGCAATGAGATTCTTCTCCATGGCGCCCCGCTGCTCCACGAGATCCATGTTGGCCTTCTTCTCGTACTCCACCGCTTGCCTATGATCGGACAGAAACAAGGTGTTGGTGCGGAATGGGATGGGATGGAATGGGGCATACACGAACCAATGCTGCCTAGGCTACAGCCACCCCACCCCTTTCCCCGCTGCTCCACGAGATCAATGTTCGCCTTCTTCTCATGCTCCACCGCTTGCCTGCTCCCGATACGAACAAGATGGTACCAGATGGGATGGTCATGGCATGGTGGAAGGGGGTCAAATGGGGCACACTAACACTGCCTAGCCTAGCCTACAGCCACCCCTCTCCCCGCTGCTCCACCAGATCCATGTTGGCCTTCTTCTCACACTCCACCGCTTGCCTACGGAATGAGATGGTACGCGATGACATGATAGCAGTCAGTGTGGGATGGGATGGACACACGAACCTGTGCTGCCTTGCCTACAGTCTACCAACCATCAGCCCGCTTCTCCACCAGATCCATGTTGGCCTTCTTCTCACACTCCACCGCTTGCCTATGAGTGAGAAGAACAAGATGATATGGTGCAGTGCGGTATCGCATGGTATGAGATGGGTCAAACGGACCAACGATGCCTAAGCCTACCACCAACCGTCAACCTGCCGCTCCACCAGACCCATGCTGGCTCTCCTCGTACTCCACCCTCGCCTACACACGGATGAGTTCAATGCGGTATGAGATGGTATGAGTCGGTCATGGCAGTCAGTTTCAAGGACGTGGGCACACCACCAATGCTGCCTACGAGTCAGTCAACTATCAGCCCGCTGCTCCACCGGTGACTAGTCCTTATAGAATTCTAAGAATCAGCCCACTGCTCTCCTGCCCTGCTTCCCTGCTGTCCGATGCTTCATCAGCGCTCCGTTCTTTTTAAATCATAGAAATCCGCCTGCTACCCGGCTGCCCTGCTGCCCTGCTGCCCTGCTGCCCGGCTGCCCGGCTGCCCGGCTGCCCACTGCTCCACCGGGGACCTCATCTGTTAAAATTCTAGGAATCGGCTCACTGCCCTGCTTCCCGCCCGCTGCCCCACTGCCCCAGCCCTGCTACCTGCTGCCAGCTGCTGATTGAAAAAGCTATCAAACAAATTCCTCTTAGGGGAGTGCGTGCTCCGTGGAGGACCAACCAAGTGTTAGGCACGTTCACATCATTCTTGAGACTTCTAAAAAAGTGACTCACAGTTGCCTGCTCGCACCATGTGCTCTGCATGCAAGCAGGCGGGCGTACCAATGAAGCACACAATGCATTTGGTATTTTTAAGCACCTAAGGAACCATATCACTATTGAGGTGCCAAAAAAAACGTCTCATTTTGGAGGCGCCTCACAAAACGGTCTCACTTTAGAGGCGCCTAGAAAAGGTGATAAACAGTGGACATGTGATAAACGGTGGGATGCACAGTGGGATTGGATGGCTGGTGGGATGCATGCATGCATGGCAGGATGCATGCACGGTAGTGGAATGGGATGTATCCTGCATGTGGGTGGGAGCAAATGCATTCAGCTTTAGAAGTAGCAACCAGGCAGCAGTCTGAAAAGACGACTGAGAAACCGCCTGCCAACTTCCCCTGCACACCTGCAGGGCACGTCTAAAAAAAGAGATCATGCCACGTGGAATGTTTGTGTTGCACATGCCACTATACACTGGCGGGACCCGTGTGTGTGTAACGTAGCGTGGAATGTGAGGCGTTGCATTGCCGATATCATGCCAGTGGATCCCATCCCACAACTGTGCAACGCAATGCTTTACATGCCGAGTGATGTGATGAGACTAAACCGCTTTCCTTGTGCATGCAAGACGACTTTTGAGGCGCCTCAAAAGCTTTCCTTGTGCATGCAAGACGACTACAAGATCGTGGCGTGATAAATGTTGGGTTTTGAGACGTCTCGATTTATCACGGGCGAATCCCACCACTGTGCAACGCTAAACTTCACTTCACATGCCAAGCGTTGAGACAGGACCCTTTCCTTGTGCATGCAATCCAACATACAAGGTCGCGGCGGTGGAATTGCCAACGGTTGTTACAACGGTCGAAACGGTCGGAATTGCGTTTCCTTGACTCGCTGCAAGCCCCTGCCAGCAAACCCTAATCAAACCCTAATCAAACCCTCCTTCCTGATACACGCAGTACAATTTTCGTGATACCGCCTGCATACTGCTTACAAGCGGAATGCAGAGAGAGATGTCCGCACGCACGTGCAAAGAGGTTTGCAGCTCACCTGGCGAGGGCGAGTTTTTGAAGTGGGGTTTGAGGCGCCTCAAACGCACCTCAATGCAAGCGGTATGCAGAGAGAGAGAGAGAGAGTTGTGTGTGCGCACATGGAAAGACGTTTGCAGCTCACGGTGCTCACCTGGCGAGGGCGAGTTGCTGGGTGCGGGCGCCCAGCTCCTGCCTGAGCTTCCACCTGCCCTATCCTATCTGCCCTATCTGTATCAACCTGCTCCATCTCTCTGCTAGGGTTTCAATGCTCACCTGGCGAGGGCGAGTTCCTGGGTAAGAGCGTCCACCTCCTGCCGCAGCTTGGGCAGCAGCTGCACGTCTGCATGCATGCGGTTCAGGTCCTGGTTCATCTGCCCTATCTGCCCTCGCATGTTTCCCTCCCTCCTTCATGCTAAGGCGCTTCAATGCTCACCTGGCGAGTGCGAGTTCTTGTGTAAGGCCGTCTATTTCCTGCCGAAGTTTGGGCAGCAGCTGCACGTCTGCATGCATGCGGTTCAGGTCCTGGTTCATCTGCCCTATCTGCGCCGCCTGCTGCTGAATCTTCGCCTGCTGCTGCTGCAGCTGCGCCGACTGCTGCTGCAGCTGCTGCTGCTGCTGCTGGTGCTGCTGATGCTGCGCCATCCGCGCAGCTTCCTCTGCCTGCCTGCGTGACGTCAGCGCCTGGATCTCGCCCCTCGTGCCCTGAAGCTCCTGCCTTGCCGCCTGCAGCTCCTGCCTCAGTGTGTCTGGGGGAGATATTTATATGGGAAAAGGAAAAGGAAAATCGGAGAAGGTTGGGTATACATGGAAGAGCGCCTGGATCTCGCCCCTCGTGCCCTGAAGCTCCTGCCTTGCCGCCTGCAGCTCCTCCTGCCTCAGTGTGTCTGGAAGGAAGGGAGGGACAAGGAAAAAGAGGGCAAAGAGAAGGGAGAGAGAAAAGGCTTGCTTCAAGCTACAAGTTTCGTGAAAGAAGGAGTGTTTTGACGTGGCTTGCTTCAAGCTTCAAGCTACAAGTTTCGTGAGACGTCTCAAAACACTCCTCCTTTCACGTGGCTTGCTTCAAGCTACCTTCTTTCACGTGGCTTGCTTCAAGCTACCTTCTTTCACGTGGCTTGCTTCAAGCTACCTTCTTTCACGTGGCTTGCTTCAAGCTACAAGTTTCCATCCATCAGCCCTCTGACAACCCTATCGCCTTGAGAAACCATAAACTAATAAAGTAATAAACGCACTCTCGTGCGTACCATACTAGCGATGCACCTTTATTATTCCTTGAGAAACATTACCAAACAAAAACTCCAACAATACACACCTGCGCCTCTCAGATTCCCTTCACGCTTTGCATTGGTATCCATCAATCAAGCCTCCACACCTCCCTCGCTCCTCCTTAATACACGCACTCGCATGCCTACACCGCATTTTGCCTCACAAACAATCCAGCACACTCCAACTCACCTGCGCCTCTCAGGTCCGCTTCAAGCTTCGCCTTGGTATCCATCAACCCTCTGATTGACCACCTGATCCTCCATTTTCCAAGCAAGAATTTCTAGCTGCTAGAACACGCAAATGAGCGGACCCACATAGCACTGCATTTACCCTGTGCAGGCACAAGCGCATCGACACACCAAGACAGCAACGCACCAGCGCCTCTCAGGACCGCTTGAAGCTTCGAATTGGTATCCATCACCCCCCTAACCACCTGGTGTGGTCCTCCTTCGTACACGCACCTGCATGCATGTACTGCATTTCGCCGTACAAACAATCAAGTAATACGCATCAAACTCTCCAACGCACCTGCGCCTCTCAGGTCCGCTTCGAGCTTCGCCTTGGTATCCATCAGGCCCCTGACCACCTGGTCCTTCTCCCCAACGGCGCCTTTCAGCCGTTGGATCTCCCCCTGCGCAGAGGCCAGCTCCTGCCTGAGCGCCACGTGGGTCGCCGCCAGCCGTTGATTCTCCATCAGCAGCTGCTGGATGTCCCCCTGCTGGGCGGCAAGTTTAACTTCTAGCTGCTGCCCTGCTACGTTCTGGGCGGCAGGGGGTTGCGGAACAGGAACATGCATTCCCTGTGGGGGAGCCGGTCCCCGAACCACCACCTGGACCGGACCCGGACCTGCGAGTCCGGGTTGGAAACCAGGTCCGGGAACGAACGGAGGTCCGGCCTGGTGGACGATAAACGGCGGCTGACCGGCCGGGCCTTGAAACTGGACGGGCATTGGAGCCTGGCCGGCTTGTCTGGCTTGATAGACGGTTCCGGGTGCGCCGGCCGGCAAGGTAGGGCCGGCGGGATGCTGGTGCTGCGGTGCGGTTTGGATTAGGCCACGCTGCTGCTGTTGTTGCTGTTGCTGCTGTATGTGGCTTGAAGGGGGTTCCTGACGGCTGCGTCGCGAGTCTCGGGTCCTGAGCGCCATCTCGCTGATTTTCGCGAAAACGGGTTACCGAGACTTCAAGAGCTGAGGAGAGATACAGACGAGCCTGTGCAAGAAGCAAGGACGAAAAGGAACGTACGGGAATCAAATGAACGATAAAAATTACGCTGCGTTAATGAAATGTCGAGAATGTAAGGAGTTATGAATGAACGAAGGTAGAAGCGTGTCTACTCGCGAGACGATGAAGCACGAAAGCGGAAGTTGCACCCGAATGGAGAAACCTAGTTCGATCTCCAAGGTTTTCAAAACTGCAGAAACTTACCCTAGTCCCTAGATTTAATCGCAGACCTCAAATGAATTCTGCTAATGACTTGAAGAGCTCCTATCGCGTCCAGATTAATTACTAGCGAACGAGCTAACCAGAAATCAAAGAACACGCAAACTTTCTCGAAAATATCACAGCTCGGCGATGCCAAGACTCAAATACGGCCGATGGAGCAGAACTAGGCCAGAATTTTAGGGCGTGCTACAAATTACTCGATAGTGAGCTTTGGGAATGCCGGCAGAAAAGGTTGAGGAGACGATACGACAATCTCGCAAGTGTAACCAACCAGGTTAAACTAAATAAAAGCTGTTCACATATTTTTCCAACCAAGAGCCTCCATGCAAATCACTTGAGTAGAGGTACAAACATCAAACCACTAGCACCTGTGGTTACAGCTCAAAATCAAAACATCACGAACAACAAGCAAGAACTAGTTCCGGCTAGCGCCGAACACACCAGCTAGTTGACTAAAAGCGTGATGGAAGGCTGGCGTCCGTCCACACACACCACATGCTAAATAGGTTCGTCGGGCGCAAGCAAGGAAAGCTTGGTTGGGAGATTTAGACATGGCATGGGATGGGAGTTTATGGGTGGAGCAGCTGAACGTGTAGAAAGGGCATTGAGGCGGCTCTAGAACCACCAGCGATAGGAGTGGTGGTGAAGTCGAAGCGTTGATAACAAACAGGATGAACGGTTGAGATGATGATGCAGCTGAACAACAGACCCGTCGCAGTTGCGGTTGATGTGAGATGGATGGGGTTTGGATGGTTTCTCTTTCTCCCCGTCGTGTTCTGGGACGTCACAAAACGGGATGAACGGTTGAGAGGATGATGCAGCTGAACAGTAATCCCGTCGCAGTTGCGGATGATGCGAGATGGATGGGGTTTGAAGGTTTCCCCACTATAATCACCCCTGTTCGCTTGGCTCCTATTGCATACGGTGCAGTGTCCGTAGCAGCTTTACCTGCACTATACCATCCCCCTCCCTTCCTTCCTCCTCTCCTCCCCTCCTACCCTCCTCTCCTCCTCCACTCAGCCCCTCCTCCTGTCCACTCCTCCCTCCTCTGCTCCCCCCCTCCACCTCCTTTTATTGCACGTACGCCACTATCACAGTCACATCGTCCCGCCTCCCCCCCTCGTGGTGCACCCCTGCTGCCTTGGCTGCTATTGCATACGGCGTGGGCTCTGCTGCACTCTCCCCTGCTTTATGTGCCATCGACACGAGCTTGCGAGCAACAGACTGGGGAGGGGGGGAGGGAGACGGGTGGAGAGAGGCAGGGAGGGGGGGAAGAAGAGGTGGTGAGAGGGGAGTGGAGGGAGTGGGGGTTGCGCAGGTTGGGACGGAAGGCACACTGGCTGCTATTGCGTACGACTGGGCTCTGCTGTGGGCTCTGCTGTGGGCTCTGCTGTGGGCTCTGCTGTGGGCTCTGCTGTCCAATATGCCCCGCAATCAACCACCTCTCCCACACTCGCTCCTCTCTTCTCCTCCTCCAGCGCCGCACACAGCACCAACCACGCACAGAGCTATGCACTCAATTCCCTCTCCCACACTCTACTCTCGCCCTTTTCTCCCCTCCTCCTCACCTCGGGTCTCTTCCCCTCCCCCAGAGCTGCGCAGAGCACGCACATGATAGTGTCGAGAAATAGATTGCCGCCAAACAGCCCACCTCTGCTCGCCTTTACCCTCTGCTCCCTGTTCTGCCCTCACCTCTCACTTCTCCTTTCTCACCTCGGGTTTCTTCCCCTCTCCCAGAGCAGCGCAGAGCACGCGCACGATGGTGTCGAGAAAGATATTGTCAAACAGCCCGTTGGTGGCTAGCAGAATCGCGTCCCCTGCTTGCACGGGAATGGTGTAATCCTGAGGATGTGAATGCACGAGGGGGTTGGGGAGAGGGGGAGGAGAGACACAGGGGTGGGGAGAGGGAAAAGACGAGTCAACGCACGATGGTGTCACAGGAACAAGAGGTTGTCAAACAGCCCGTTGGTGGCGAGCAGAATGGCATCCGCCTGCTTGCACAGGAATGGTGTAATCCTGCTCAAGTGAGGGGGGGTGAGGTGAGCCATTGAAGGGGTTAGGAGAAGGAAACAGGGGTCAGCTCAACACACGATGTGACTATGGTGTCGAGAAAGAGATTGTCAAACAGCCCGTTGGTGGCGAGTAGAATGGCGTCCCCTGCTTGCACGGGGATGGTGTAATCCTGGGCAAGCAACCGCCGGGACACAGGGGTAAGGGGGAAACGGGAGCCAACGAAGAAGGGAAGGGAGAGGTGAAGGGGCGGAGAAGGGGGTGGGGGGCGGTGTCAGCACACGAGTGTGTCAAGCAGGTGTTATCTTTCTGTCGACAGAGAGAGAAGGGATTGCCAAACGACCTTACATTGCTGCACTCAGGTGCTCAGGAGCAGGATCCACAAAGTGACTCTTGAGTCGACTCAAAAGGGGCTCAGGAGCCGGGGCATACACGTGTTTGAAAGCTTACCATGGCTGAGAAAGGGGCTTGAACGCTCACCTTAGCACAGTCAGGGCCGTCCCCAGCCTCATGCCCGATTTGGAAAGGGTTTCCAAAAGAATGCTCCATGCGCTCCGAGCGGATCACCAGCTCGCCCCTCCTCAGCAGCACGAACCCACAGCTGCCTATGCTCGCCACTCGCAGGCGCTGAGGGTGGGGAAAAAGCGAAGTGGTGGGAAAAGGAATGGAGGAAACAGGGGAGGAAGTGGGAGGTGAGGGCAGGAGAGCAGTGGCATTCCTCTCTGAGCGGATCACCAGCTCGCCCCTCCTCAGCAGCACGAACCCACAGCTGCCTATGCTTGCCACTCGCAGGCGCTGCAGGAAAGGGAACGGGGTGAGAGAGGGAAAGGGTGGGTGGGGTGGAGGGGAGACAGATGGAAGAGAGAGAATCACCAGCTCGCCCCTCCTCAGCAGCACGAACCCACAGCTGCCTATGCTTGCCACTCGCAGTCGCTGATGGGGGAGAGGGAGGTGGAGTAGGGGAGAAGAGAGACGGGGGGTAATAGAAGGTGAGGGAAGGGGGCCGCATGGAAGCCCTATCCGAGAGAATCACCAGCTCGCCCCTCCTCAGCAGCACAAACTCGTAGATCCGTGAGACCTTTGGTATTTGAGGTACCACCCAAGATTCAACTCACATCCTTATCCAGCACAGCAAGGGCGATGGTGGACGAGCCGCGTAGATCAGTGCGGCTGTGGCTCTCCCTACAACCCCCTTGGGACCCATCGGGTCTAAATCAATACCCAGCCACGGCAAACGTGAAAGAAGGAGTGTTTTGAGACGTCCTATAACCCCCTTGGGACCTTTCACGTGGCATCAATACCCAGCCACGGCAAACGCCACACTAACAGCAAGTTCGATCGTGCAAGATTGATGGTGCAGGTAGGGTCCACTCACGTCTTTATCAAGAACAGCAAGGGTGATGGTGCAGGAGCCGCGTAGATCCGTGCGGCTGTGGATCTCTTCAACCACTCACCTAGTCACTTGGTTTCGGGGGTTAGTACCCAAGGCTTCCACTCACATCTTTATCCAGCACGGCGAGAGTGATGGTGCAGGATCCTCTCAGGTCAGTGCGGCTGTGGCTCTCCTCAATCACCCCCTTGGGATCCATTGGGTCTAAATCCTCCTCATCATCATAGTACCCATAGTCGTAATCATCCCCTCCCGCCCCCACTCCGCTCACCACCCCTCCTCCCGCACCCCCCACGCCCCTCCCCCTCCTGCCGCCCGCTCCGCCGCCCATGCCGTCCACACTGCCGCCCGCCGCCGCCCCCCGCCCGACGCCTGCCGAGTCGTTGTGATCCGAATCTAGCTCAGAATCGGATCTCCCTTCAAGATGGTCGGCAAAGTCATCGTCGGTTTCCTCGTCCTCGTCGCTATCTGCTCCTTCCTGCCGCGACCGAATCACGTTGACACAGTTCCACATCATCTCACGGGAATATAAGCCTGCGTTGATGCCTGGTGGAGGGACGAGGGGTGAGGGGTGCGGGGTGAAGGACGCATGGGAAGGGGAGGCAGGAAGCAGAAGTGGCATTTGGTGTTGTGCCGGTCAGACAGGCGACTGAAGGCACCTGCTGTTCCCCTCTACCAGTGCCCCTCTGTCAGTTACTGTCAAACTCATCCGCAAAGTCGTCATTGGTTTCGTCGTCCTCCTCACTGTCTGCTCCTTCCTGCCGCGACCGAATCGCATTGACACAGTTCCACATCATCTCACGCGAGTATAGGCCTGCGTTGATGCCTGGTGGATGCACGGGGTGTGACGGAAGAGGTGTGAGGGACGCATGGGGAGGGGAGGGGAGGCAGGAAGGAACCGGGAGTGGCGTTTGGTATTGTGGTGGTCAGTCAGGTGAATGAAGGCGCCCGCCTGCCATTCACTGTCGGGATTCCCTTCCAGATGGTCGGCAAAGTCGTGTACAGGCCTGCGTTAATGCCTGATGGTCGCATGGGGTGAGGGGCGCGGGGTGAAGGACGCAGGGGGAGGGGAGGCAGGAAACGGGAGTTGCCTTAGGCGTTGTGGCGTTCAGGCAGGTGACTAAAGGTATCTCCCTTCAAGATGGTCGGCAAATTCGTCATCGGTTTCATCGTCCTCGTCGCTATCTGCTCCTTCCTGCCGCGACCGGATCACGTTGACACAGTTCCACATCATTTCACGCAAGTACAGCCCTGCGTTGATGCCTGGTGGATGCATGGAAGTGGGGGAAATGTGGGGAGGAAGAGGGAGATGTGGTGGGTGGTGTGGGGAAAGGAGAGACCGAATCACGTTGACACAGTTCCGCATCATTTCACGCGAATACAGCCCTGCGTTGATGCCTGGTGGATGCATGGAAGCGGGAGCACATGGCGTTGATGCCTGGTTGCCGCATGGGATGCATGGAAAGGGGCGAAAATGGGAGGAGGGAGTTGGGATCGGTGGGATGGAAGAAGGAGCAAACGAATCGCGTGGACACAGTTCCACAACATCTCTCAGGAATACAGCCCTGCATTGATGCCTGTGAACACGTGAGGGGCGGGAAAGAGGGGAATGCCATCTGCCACACGCTCAGCCAGTTGCCTCCACACAGAAAACACACCCAGCACCCCTCACCATCCCTCACCACCTCTCACCACCCCTTCCCACCCTTAACCACCGCTCACAACCCCTCACCACTGCTCACCACTCCTCTTCGCCGCTCACCTTGGTCTGTCCACGTGCCAATGCCATCTGCCACGCCCAGCCAGTTACCCTCCACCAAGTAAGCATCGTCACCACCCCTTGACGCCTGCACACAGCAGCAAAACCGCCGCATACAGAGGAGGACTAGTGAGAGAGGGTGTGTGTAGGTGGGATGTTTCAACTTTCAAGGCCCCGCCCAGCCCAGCCAGTTGCCCTCCACCAGATAAGCATCATCACCACCCCTTGATGCCTGCACACAAAGGTACCATACAGGGACGAAAATGAGTTCAACTGTTCTAAAATTCCAACAAGTATCACATGTTGCCACCCCTTTTTGAACAACCCACCCCAACCTTCAGCTACAGCCCGATTTGAAAATTCTCGAAAACTTCGGAGCGCAGCGTAACCCCAAGCAGCACCGTACCTTACCCCGGGCAGCTACGGCCCGTTTCCAAAAATTTCTAGAAACAAATACTCACTCGAGCAGGGTGGGGCACGCTGTAAACTCCAACCTTGAGCTGCAGCTGATGCAGCACCACATCCTCCTTGCGCTCAGAGGGCTGGATGGCCAGGCTGGGGAGGGAGGGGAGAGAGGGGAAGAGGAGAGGAGAATGGTGAATACCACAGAGGGCCAGCGGTGAGCTGTATGTAGCCTTCAGCTGCAGCTGATGCAGCACCACGTCCTCCTTGCGCTTCGAGGGCTGGAGGGCCAGGCTGGGGGAATGTGGGGAAAGAGATGGGTGGAGCATGGTGTGAATGGTGTACACTGTGGTGAGAGAGAGGAGAACACGTGCAGCTCTCAGCTGCAGCTGATGCAGCACCACGTCCTCCTTGCGCTCTGAGGGCTGGATGGCCAGACTGGGGGAAGAGATGGGTGGAGAACGGTGTGAATGGTGTACACTGTGGTGAGAGAGACGGGAACACGTGCAGCTCTCAGCTGCAGCTGATGCAGCACCACGTCCTCCTTGCGCTCTGAGGGCTGGATGGCCAGGCTGGGGAAAATCTCGGGGAAGAGAAAAATGAATACTTGGGAGGAAAACGCTCACGAATCTGGGATCTGGGGCGTGGAAGCAGAGAGCCTACCTCCTGCTTTCCTCCTCCTGCTGAGGCGACACTTGAGTTGACTAAAAAAAAACGACTTTTGACTTTTGAGTCGACTCAAGAGGGGAACGCTCACGAATCCGAAATCTGAGGGGGCATGGAAGCAGAGAGCATACCTCCTGCTTTCCTCCTCATGGAGACCAGTTGTTCCTGCCGCCTCCTCTCCTGAAACTGCGCCCCCTTCCTGTGCTAGCGCCTCTGCTTGTTCCTGCTCTGCTGCTCTCGGCTCGGAATAAAACCCCCGTGCTGCGTACTCCTCCTGTGCTCCTTGCTCTTGCATTGCTTGCTCAGCCGCTCCCTGCTCTTGCGCTGCGGATTGCAGCCCTTCCAATTCTGACTGCATCACTGGAACTGGAGCAGGGATTGGGAACACCTCCTCTTCTAGAACCACGCCGTTCGGGTAAATGGGATTGGAGGCACTGGTCTCCCACCCTGTGCTGCCCCCATCCCTCTGCTCCCCCTCTTCGTATCCGTTTGAGCCCTGCTGCTGCCCCTCATACCCCTGCTGCTGCTGCTCTTGCTGGTGCTGCTCCTGCTGTTGCTGCTGCAGTAGCTCCTGCTGCTGTTGCTGCTGCTCGTCCCACCCCAACTGCACCTGTTGCTGCTGCTGCTGCTGCTGCTCCTTCTGCTGCTCCTCCCACTGTTGCTGCTCCCTCTGCTGCTGTTCCCACTGCTGCTGCTCCCTCTGCTGCTCCCTCTGCTGCTCCCTCTGCTGCTCCCTCTGCTGCTCCTCCAACTGATACTCGCGACTCCATGCAAACATCCCACCATCCTCACCATCCTCCCCTCCTTCTCCCTGTTCCTCCCACTGCTGCTGCCCCTGAAGCTGCTGCTGCTCCTGTGACTGCTCCCCCTGCTGATGCTGCTCCTGCCGCTCCTGCCATTCCTGCTGCTGCTCCTGTTGCTCCTGCTGTTCCTGCTGCATCTGCTGCTGCTGCTCCTGTCGCTCCTGCTGTTCCTGCCGCAGTAGTTGCTGCTGCTGTTGCTGCTGCTCTTTCTGAAGCTGCAGCTGCAGCTGCTGCCGCGCCTGCCTCTCCCTCTCCGCGTCCTGAATCTGCTCCCTAAGGCTCTGCGCCTGCTGCTCCAACTGCTCTAACTGCGCCTCTGCCTGCTCCCTTGAACCAAACCGAAACACCACCGTGTCCTCCTCGTGCTCTGCTTCAGGGATGGAGAAGTGGGGGGGGGGAGGAGGGACGGGAGAGGAGGCGAGGGAGGGGGAGAAGAAGAGAAAGAAAGGGCATGTCGTGAAGTGAGCGAAGAATGGAAATGGTAGGAGATGGCATCAGAGGCAGGAGGAATTAAGCTGGGGGCGAAGTTTAGGAGAGAGGACGAGGAGGGGCAGAGAGAGAGCGGGATAGACAGGGGCGGCCAGCATAACAATGGGGAAATAAAGAAGCACCCCCCTTGCAGAGAGAGGGAACATACCATGGACGTCAAGAAGCACCCACGCAGCTTCCTGCTCGCCCTCCTCTTCGTCACTGTAATCCAAGAAACCCACGCCCATCACCCCCACAGTCTGTTCACTGCCCCCCTGCTCTCCCCCAGGAACACCCTGGAACCGTTCTTGAGGCGCCTCAAAGACAACCTCCATGCCCATCACCTCCACCGCCTGCTCCATGGCCTCATGCTCGGACGCCTGTACCCTTTCCTGCTGCTGCTGCTGTTCTTGCTGCTCTTGCTGCTGCTGCTGCTGCTGCTGCTGCTGCTGCTGCTGCTGCTGCTGCTGCTGCTGCTGCTGCTGCTGCTGCTGCTGCTGCTGCTGCTGCTGCTGCTGCTGCTGCTGCTGCTGCTGCTGCTGCTGCTGCTGCTGCTGCTGCTGCTGCTGCTGCTGCTGCTGCTGCTGCTGCTGCTGCTGCTGCTGCTGCTGCTGCTGCTGCTGCTGCTGCTGCTGCTGCTGCTGCTGCTGCTGCTGCTGCGAATGCTGCGAATGCTGCGAATGCTGCTGCTGCTGCTCGTGCTGCGGTTGCAATTGCTCTTGTTGATTCCACGCCTGTTGCTCATCTTGCCCCCAACCCCCAGCCTGTGGCTGTTGCTGCTGAGAAGAGTACTCTGCCTGATGCTGCTGCTGTTGCTGTTCTTCTTGTTGCTGCTGCTGCAGCTGCTGTTGTTGCTGCTGCTCAGATATTTGCTGTTCCTGCTGCTGCTGCTGCTGTTGTAGCAGCTGTTGCTGCTGCTGGGCCCAGTGTGCTTGCTGCTCCTGCCATTGCTGTTGCTCAAATCTTAGCTGTTCCTGCTGCACTTGCTGCTGCTCTTGATGATACTGCCCTTGCTGTCGGTAATCTGCCTGTGTTTGTTGCTCTTGCCAGTGCTGCTCCTCGGATTGATGCCCTTGCTCCCACTGTTGCTGCTGCTGCTGTTGCTGCTGCCCCTGCTCCTGCCACTGTTGCTCCTCGGATTGTTGCTCCTGCCACTGCTCTACCTGTGCTTTTTGCTCTTGGTCCAATTTCGCCTGCTCCTCCTGCTGCTGCTGCTGTTGCTCCTCCTCCCGCTGCTGCTGCTCCTCCTGCCGCCTCTGTTCATCCAGATGTTCAGCCTGTGCTTGTTCTTCTTGCCAGGCCATTGCTTGCCCTTGACCCAATTTCTCCTGCTCCTCCCGCCGTTGCTGCTCCTCCTGCTGCTCTTCGTGCCACTGCTGCTGTTCCCGCTCCTGCAGCTCGGCTTGCTGCCGCTGCTCTGCCCACTGTTCTGCCTGCGCTTGTTGCTCTCGCCATTGCATTTCCTGCTGCAATTCAAACTGTTGCTGTTCTTGCTGTTGTTGCTGCTGCCACTCCAACTCTTGCTGTTGCTGCTCCAGTTGTTGTTGTTGCTGCTCCAACTGTTGTTGTTGCTGCTGCCAGAACTGTTGCTGTTGCTCCAACTGTTGCTGTTGCTCCAACTGTTGCTGCTGCTTTAACTGCTGCTGCTGATATCCCAACGCCAAGCCCTCTCCTACAGTTTCTGCGCCAGAACCGTGAGAAACCGCTGCATCAGCTTGAGAATCAGCCTCGGCTGACTCTGCACAGAGGTGATGAGGGGTTCTATGCGGTGACTCTATCGCTTCGGCTGGTGACGTTGCTGCTTCTTCTGTCGCTGGTATTGCTTCTGCTGGTACTGCTGCTGCTGATTCTGATGCTGAAACTGCTGCTGCTGCTGCTGGTACTGATGTTGCTGCTGCTGCTGCTGCGTCTATCACTGCAGCAGCACTTGCGGAACTCGCGATTGGCTGTCCAATATACTGCGCGGCTTCTCCTGCGGGTACACGCTCTGCTGATTCCAAAGTTGCTGCTTCAACTCCATCTACTTCCGCCCCGTGATTTCCCCCATCCGCGCCGTGACTTCCCCCATCCACCCGCGCCTCCGCGCCCTCAAGGCTCCGCCCCAAATTCCCCCATTCCGCGGGTACGTCGGAGCCCGCGCGGTTTTCTTCGAGATTGCCCCATTCCGAGCGCCTTTCCGCTTCCGAACCCCCCTGCGAGAGCCCCTCGACGTTTTCCGCATCGGAAGATCCAGTGATTGGGCCCACGTAGGCCCTTGCGCGGACATGCCCGCGGACACTTGCGCGGGCATTTGCGCCAGCACTTCCGCAGTCAATCGCGCGACCGGTTGCGCGGACATGTGAACAGACACGCCCTTGCAAGCTACTTGTTGAGGTCTGGGAAAGGAAGGTTGGAGAAAGAGGAAGGGAGAAGAATGAGAGTAGAAAAGAGAGGGACGCGAAAGGCAACGCAAGGGAGAAAGAGAACGGATGCAGGGTTATTGAACAAATAAACTTAAAGCATGCAATACAGGGCAGGGTACAACTGTCACGATTACTTCTTTTACTGCAATAAAGCCGCTTACCGATTTGAGCTTTCCAGGAGCCCTCGAAGTCGTTTGTGCGAAACAGCTGCTGGAGTTTAATCTGCGAATCGGGAACTGACACGTCACGCCATCCGTCGCACCCCTGGGAATGCGACGGCGAATGAGCGAAGGGGGCTGGAGGACGAGGGAGGCGATCCCAGCTGATGGCTTCGTAACGGAATACGGAGTCACTAAAAACGAGGATGATATTTCGTAAAGCCGACACGCAACAGACTTAGGAAATGGCTTTAACGCTAATCCTGAAAAAGACTTGCCGTGTGGCGAAGGGAAAGTCGAGGGTAGCTTTATCTGCGTGGATCGGGATAAGAAACGAGACGGTGTGGAGCCGGAAACGAGAGGCGACGAGGAACTAGACGAAGCGTACATGACGGAAGATCCGGAAAGCTGAGGTTCGCTTCTAATCGCCGGTGATACGGGACACACGGAGGCAGAAAAGGATGCGGACATGGTGTTGCTCCGTGTCTTTCTTTAGCTGCTTCTTGCTGATGTTGTTGCTGTCCGCGTGATTCGTAGCTGCTGGGACGACAGAACAAGAGCTTTTATATGCAAGCCCTAAACAAGACGTAAGTGTCTACTGGGAAAGCATAGCGCTTAATTTTAGGGCTTCATTTTCTCTTTACATGAAGCCCCTGCCTAAATGGGTTCTCATAAGCGCTTAAACTGGAACGCGTCGCATCGGTGACAATGATGTTGCAAAGCTCTTCGCCAATCCCGCTAAGCCAATCATGATAAGCGGTATCTACGGAGGGACAATGAGAGAGAGAGATGTGGAATACGAACACAAACCAGATCGTAAGCGGAGAAAGAAATCAAGCACTGCAAGAGAACCAGCATTCTAGAAATCAGGTCCGCAGAGAAGTGTCAGGAAGTGACCACCATAACCAAACCACTTCGACCGCCGTGGATGAGGCATGAATGGGTCCAGACTCTAGGATGCAGCATGTATGGGTCCAGGTTAGGGAGTGCCATAACCTCGTGAACAGTTCATGAATCAGAGCTCAGAAAGGTGAGTAATGGTTCGAAACGGTGAAAGAGACAATGACCGCTGTAAATCGCACAGCAGCGTTACTGTATCGAATTTCACCGAGCGTTACTTGTGACATTCCCTGAGGTTCGTTCGGGTCGGGGTTCGGCGGAGAAATGGGCAGTCAATGGACGGCTGATGGCGGAAACTGGTTGTGGTGTTCAACGCAGGAGCGCGGCGGGCGGGGGAATGGGCGAGAAAGTCTCCGCTGCACCGCCGACCATGCCCGTAATCTGTAGGCGCGGAAAAGTAGCGGCGGGAGGGGAGTTCGGGGAATGGGGGGAAGGGGGGGCTAGGCTGGGGGAAGAATCTTCGCGGATGTATTTGAATCACGGCGCGGGAGAGTCTGTGGTTCCCTGGCATGCGAAATGTCAAGGCCAATCAGGATGGAGGAATTTGCTGGCCTTGAAAACAACGAGGTTGCAGCCGAATTTTCAAGGTTGGGTGCGATTAGCGAAAACGTGACTTCCAGTGACCAGCTTCACAGTTCTTGTTCAGAATATAAACTTAGTCTCTTTGTTACGAGTGCAATTGAGTGAACGAACGAGAATTGCACTATCGAAGCAAAGAGTACAATGAGCGAAGGCATGAGCGAAGGATTATATAGCGAAACAATAGTGGTAACGGTAATGGACTGTGGTTGTCGCGCGACGAGCCTGGGGCTGAGGTTGGGAAAATGTCGAAGCGTAGGCCCGGAGCGCGGGTTACCAGCCGAGCCGTGAGGTCGGGATGCGATGTGCGAAGAGGGCGGGATAATGAATGATGCGATGGTCGTGAGTGGTAACGGTGCTGACTGAGGTGCTACAGTGACGTACGCGTTGAGCAGGGACGCGAAGTAAGGAAAAGGGAATTTCCTTACACTCTTATACAACTGACAGTTGTATGTTATCAGCTAAAACAAATGAAGCTTTGGCTTCCGCAAGCAATAATGTACAACATGCACGCCAAACCTCAACTGACGAGTTAGATTAAAAAAAACACACAAAGCTAACGAAAATGGAAATTAGGAAAGCGCCTAGTTAGGTTGAACTTAGACAAAGGAGGCTGCTGCAAATTCATTCGCTAGCACTGCAACAACCAAAGGAGGCAAACACACTCCACACATGTGCAAAACATTCATCAGGGAGAAACGTAGGACAAGGTTGATGTGACTAACAAGAGTCACATGCAGAAGAATTTTCAAACGAAACAAGCATGCAAAACGCGTGCGAAAGGGTGTGCTACTCACACAGCACAGCATGTGATACGACAAACCAAAATCACATCGGCTCAAACACATCAAATAAAATCCTTACCAGGATCCACAGCCTCCTTGGGCCGCCCGCTGATGTCCACCTTGCAGAGCGGACAGCTGGCGTTGATCCGCAGCCACGTGTCGACACAGGATTGGTGAAAGTGGTGGTTGCAGGGAAGCTGCCTCAGCTCCGCCCCATCCTTGTAGTGCCCCAAGCAGATGCAGCACACCTGGTAACCATGTAACAGGCGTAAGGAAGTGGGAGGAGGGGCGGGGGGGAGGGGAGAGGGGGGGTGGGGACGTGGGAGAGTGGGGCAGGGGGGAGGGAGAGGGGGGTGAGGGGATGACCAACTTGCCTCAAAACGTCCCTCCTGTGCACCATTTTCTCCTCCCTTCCCGCCCACTGCAGCCCCCCACCCCAGCTCGAGAACGACAAAAACTACCACGGTCAGACCACTCCCAACAAGACAGAGCAGAAGCAGAGGCATAGCAGAAACAGGGGAAGGGAGGAGGGAGGAGGAAGGTGGTGGGGGGGTGGGAAACGGGGGTGCGGGTGGGAAGAGGAAGGCAGGTTGGGAAATGAGTTGACTCACCGCATCCTCCCCTTGCACTACCCGCTCCTTGTCCATACCCGCCCACAGCAGCCCAACCTCACCTCATGAGAACAACAACTACCAGTCTGGGGGGCAAACGGGGGGAGAGGAGCAACTCACCGCATCCTCCCCTTGCACTATCCGCTCCTTGTCCGTACCCGCCCACAGCAGCCCCACCTCCTCCGACGAGGAGTCACTATCCGACTCCTCCCCCCCACCCACACCACTGCTGCAAATGACCTCACTGCTCCCGCTCCTGCTCCTGCTGCTGCTGCTGCTGCTGGCACTGCTGTAGGCTCTAGCACTCAGCGTGCTCTCCTCTTCTTGACTTCCCACTGACATCAGGCCGTGATCAGCTGTCTTTCTGGTTGCCAGTGCTTGCTGCGATCGCCTCCGGTTCCTCCTCAGGCTTGGGGAGCTGCTGCTGCTGCTGCTGCTGGTGCTGCTGGCACTGCTGCTGCTACTGCTGCTTGTGGTTGTACCACTGCTGCTCCTGCTGCTGCTGGAACTGCTGCTACTAGCAGGGCTTAGTTCAGGTGTTTTCATCCCCTCTCTACCACCATCACAACCTTCACCACCACAATCGCCACCACCATCGCCATCACATCTGCTCTCACCACTCCCCTTGCTGCTTCCCTTCCCAACCCCACCACTCCCCCCCTTCCTCCTCCGCTTCAGCTCCTTATACTTAAAGCACGGCAGCGAGGCGATCTCATCAGGAGCAGCACCCTTGGAGGCCGGGGAAATGGAGGCGATATCGTTATCGAAGCCCATGAGCGTGATGATGCAGGGCAGGCAGCAGCAGATGGTGGCGCAGAGGAGGAAGGGCATGGCGTAGCTCACACAGCTCAATGTTAAAAACACCACGCTCAGACTGGATAAGGGGGGAGGGGAAAAAGGGATGGGCGGAGGGGGACAGGAAGCGGGGCAGGGGTGGGGAATAGGGAAGCAGACGGAAAGAGGGTGAATGAATTGGGGATGGGGACCAATCTCATCAGGAGCAGCGCCTTCAGAGGCCAGGGCCTGGGGAGGGGAGATGGAGGCAATGTGGTTATCGAAGCCCATGAGCGTGATGATGCAGGGCAGGCAGCAGCAGATGGTGGCGCAGAGGAGGAAGGGCATGGCGTAGCTCACACAGCTGAGCGCCAGAAACACCACGCTCAGACTGGCGGGGGAGGGGGGGTAGGGGGGGGGGGGGAGGGGGCAGTATGGGGAATTGAGGGAGGAAAGAGTGGAGCAGCAGAGGAGGAAGGGCATGGCGTAGCTGAGGGTCAGAAACACCACGCTCAGACTGGCGGGGGAGGGGGGGTAGGGGGGGTTGGGGGGGGGGGGAGGGGGCAGTATGGGGAATTGAGGGAGGAAAGAGTGGAGCAGCAGAGGAGGAAGGGCATGGCGTAGCTGAGGGTCAGAAACACCACGCTCAGACTGGCGGGGGAGGGCGCGGGGGAGGGGGCGGGGGAGGGGTTGTGACAATTCTGTGGCCTCCTGGAAGGCTGATGTGGAATCTGGTTTCGTTTCTCACATAAAAAGGGCCAAGGGACTTATACAGTGTCGGGGCGGCCTGGGAAGCAGAGCTGACACCAAAGACCTACAAACCAAACAGCAAAGAAGGTCATTCACGCGTCTTGTTTCTCGCTAGTAGCACGTTCGACACAGTCACTCACTTGTACAGTAATGGGGCGGCCTGGGCGGCGGAGTTGGCGCCAAATACCCAGATATTGCCGAGCACAAATCCGACAGCAGAAACACCCATTTACTCCAGCTTGTTTCTCATTAATCGCACGTTCGACAGTCACTCACTTGTACAGTAATGGGGCGGTCTGGGCGGCAGAGTTGGCGCCAAAGACCCAGATATTGCCGAGCACAAACCAGACTGCAAAGAAGCAGTCGACTGAGACCTTGTATCTCTCCACCATCACCATGAGCCTGGGGTTTAGAAGGTGAGGGGGGGAAGGGAGGTGGGAGTGACGAAGTGTATGGAACATGAAGCAGTCGACTGCGACCTTGTATCTCTCCACCATCACCACGAGCCTGGGGTTTAGGGAGGGAGAGGGAGAGAGAAGAGAGGAATGGTAGTGTGTGAGCTCCAGGGCTGACTGAACTGCAAACAAGCAGTCAACTGAGAGCTTGTATCTCTCCACCATCACCACGAGCCTGGAAAGGGGAGGGGGAGGGGAGGGGGAGGGAGATGCGGAAGGGGAAGAGGGAAGGAGGAAGCATACGGGGCTGACTGAGTGAGGAGCAGTCGACTGAGACCTTGTATCGCTCCACCATCACCACTAGCCTGGGAATTGGAAGAGAGGAAGGGGGGGGGGGAGGGGGGGGAGGGGGAGATGAGGGAAGAAGGGATTCAGAGGGGAAGCGAGGGACGGGAGAGGGACGGAGGGAGTGTACAAGGCTGTATGAGGGAGGTTGGGTGAAAGGGAGAACGGATTGGGAGGGGGAGGGATGGGAGACGGGGAGAAAACACCTGAAAAGGCACCTGAATAAACACCTGCAAACAGAAACCCACCTGGATTCATCTCGCCAGTCATCAGCGACCTCATTCAAGAACCGCCACATGCACCCCCACCAACCCCTCCCCTCCTCCCCCCAATTCCGCTGCGCCATCTCCCCCGCTGCCACTGCCCTTTCCGCCACATAGCTCTCCCAGAACCGCGCGCCCTCGTCACTCCCCCGCGCGCCCCCCCCATTCGCCCCTACGCAGTGCGCATTTCCCCCAGCGCCCACCGCCCTCCCCCACGTGCCCTCCGCGCTTCCCGTTGCCCCCCCGCCAACTACGCTGGTCGCCAGGGCCTCTCTCTCCCCCACTATTAGCTGCCCCGTTACAAGCTGTCCCGCTGCAGCCTGCCCTGCTACAGCCTGTCTCGCTACAAACTGCCCCGCAACAGGCTCCTCTGCTGCAACGGGCGGTTGCAGCGCCTCTGCTGACGCATGCGTGGCGGGATGCGGACAAGAGCATGCGAGCTCAAGCAGCGGCGACTGAGCCGAGACACGTGGCGCTATGCTATTGGTTGATCCTTGTGGCGCGTGCGACGGGGGTGGTGGGGGGAAATCATTATGCTGCTGCTCCCGCTGCTGCTGCTGCTGCTGCTGTTGCTCTTGACGCTGCTGTTGCAGCTGCTGCTGCCGCTGTTGCTGCTCCTGATGCTGCAGCAGCTGCAAGCGCGACAGCATTTCAAAGCGCTGCCTAAACTCTTCTTCCCGTTGCCGCTGCTCCGCCGACCCACTATGCAGCGATTGCTGACCGTACATCTGACGGATCGGAGGGTTCACGTAAGCCTCAGCGCTCTGCGAGTGATGTCGGGTGTATCTATGCGTGTATCTCCAATACAACAGTGGCAGTAACAGGACGCACCCTAACGCGTATCCCAGCACCCACGCTCGCAGTGGTACAAGCGGCTTTTCATCCATCGACGCGAAAACAATAAACGCCGTCGCGATAATCTGACCCAGGAGAAAGACAAACTCTGCCGCCACCCACAGACCCGAGTTGAGCGGGCTCGTGCGAACGCGCCGGCCGGCAAATCTGGAGCGGCCGGAAGCCTGGACATTAGGTCTTGACGGCCGGCGCGGCAGCTGCTCTCCCCAGTCACCCAGCGTTGATGCTCCCAACCCCTGCTGCTGCTGCGGCTGTTGCAGGTGATGCGGCTCCTGCAGGTGATACGGATGACGCGGGTGATACGGTAAATGCGGATACTCCTCCCTCTGCGGATAACGCTCCACCTGCTGCTGTTGTAAACCTTGAGAAATAAGTAATGCCTCATCCTCTTCCGCTCCCCTCTCCTCTCCGCCTTCCCCCGTCCAGAATCCATTCACTGCCCTTTCCAAAAAGTCTCTTCTAGCCCCCCAGCCCTCTCTGCTCCCCGCGACCCTCGCCGCTGGCGCGCGCCAGCGCTCTCCGCTCCCCGCAACCCCCCCGAGAGGGGAAGTGCGCGACGGAAGAGCGCCAAGCTCAGCTCCCCGTTCCCCTTCCGCGGACTGCGAGTCCAGCGCGAACGCAGGGGGAATGGCGGAAGAAACGGCGGAATCCGCGGAAGCGAGAAGTTGCGCAAACCCGCCCTCGCCATCCACGTCCAGGCGCACGGGTGGCGGAGAGGCGAAAGGGCGGAGAAACACGCGGAAATCCGCTTGCGCCTCCGCCTGCGCGGAAGTCTGTTGCGCTGGTCCTCTTGCGCCTCCGCCAGCCGCGGAAAGCTGCTGTGCGTCGTGAGTCCGCGGTTGATTGCGCGGCTCTTCCGCTGCGGTCAAGCCCGAAGCGCCATGCAATGAAGAGTTACATGAACAAGCCGCGTCGGCATTTGAAACAAGCTCCTGCAGAGGCGACGCTACTGTTGCCGGAGGAAGCGGCGGGAGCGGCGAGGCGACATCGGGCTCAGATGTCAATCCCAGGGTTTTCTTCAACGGCGAGTTGGCGGCGATTTGGATGAGATGGTCCGACGCGCAGCACGGCCATGGCGGCGTCGACATTGGCTGCGATTCGCCGGCGCTGGAAGAAACGGCGTCGAGCGTTTGGGATGATTCAAATTGGCCGTCGAGGTGGGAAGCTGGACGCGAGGAGCTGGACATGTCTGGTTGGTGAGGATTGCCCGCGGAGCCCATACTGCGGAACGGAGGGAATGCACCCGTGTTTCAAAAAATATATATACTAACTCAGCACTGGCGAGTTGTGCCGTGGGATCAAACGAACTAATGAGAGATGAGAGACAATGCTACGATATATCATACACGAATGGATTATTGCGCTACAGGACAAAAGATGGTAACAGCTGCGATTATCCAACGAGGAGGAGATAAGACCGACCGGAATTTACAACATGTGTTTTAGAAGGGACCGGCAGCCTGCCCCTAACTCACGGCTCGCGCGGTGCGTAGTGAGCGAGGAAGCAGGAGCGTAGTACCTAAAACATCGTTTGGACTTGCATGAAGCACGACAAATTATTACATTCGCTGCATTCTATGGCGTTTATCGTTGGGCTGGAAGGGAAGAACGACCCTGGGCTTTTCTTTGCACTTCGGGCTTCTCTTGCACCTTGGAGTTACCCGTGTACATGGCAAATACCTAGGCTGTCGGGTTTCCAAACCAGACCTTGGCCTTACCAGACCAGAGCTGGTTCGGAAGAGCGAGCCTGGACTCTGCCTCAAGCACCTCTGGAGATTGCAAATTCCTAGGCTTCTCAAACCAGACATTGGAGTTACCAAACCGTCAACTTTCCAGACCAGACCTTGGCTTTGCAATAACACCTGACCCCGGTCAGGCAATCACGTGAGTCTCCCCAGGCAATTCGACCTTTGTCTCGAGGCTGCCTAGCATGCCATGGCTGCGTCGGTGGTTGTTCATCCAGGTTCAAACCCAACGCAAAGTCGGTATTGAGAGATTTCGAACGGTCATATAAGATGAATTAAGGTGCGGGCGCCCTTTTCATAGCTGAGCGAAGTGCTGGTTCGGCCAAAGGAGAAAAACCCAGGGTGCGCAAGAGGCTTGGCTTGGGTGTCGATGAGCGGGTTGTTGGGAGAGGAAGGTTTCGAGCGAGCTGTTATGGGTTTCAGGTGGCGACTGTTATACCGTGTGCGACAATCTAATGACGTGGACCTTGCGGCTGCTGATGGAAATAACATCTTTTTTATCGTGGCGACGCGACTGTGCTGCTGTCTGTCTGGTACTTCACCTGCGTCGCTGGGTCCTTGACGACAAGAACAGTGCGACGAAGCCGACCACCACTGTCACACCGGAGAAGCAATCATTCATAACGAAGCTGTACAGGTTCAGAAGCAGGTGAGAGTTTGTTCGCAAAGCGTTGTTACCACATGGCAAGCCACAGATTTACAGTCAGCAATGAAATTCGACTGGGTACAGCTTACGACTAGCGAATCGCGAGGTTCCAAGGCAGCGGCGCGCTGCTTTGATGCACCACGGTTCGACTGGTTGTGTACACCCTGTTTCGCGCCACACTGACATTCGCCATATTTACAAGCTGGTTGTACTGACATCAATGCGTCCAAATTGGTCCCAGAACATATCGTATAAGAACTTTTGCCGCACAAAACCAGCCTTAAAAGCATGTTTATTTTCATAAACCGCTGTCTACCGTTCTCCTGAAGTGCATTCCGGTTGCAAGCACCAGCCCGCTGAATCCAAGCACACGTGCGCACTGTAGCCGGGGCTCCCGATTATTCAAAATCGAGAAACAGGGTGTAGAAGTAAAAATCAGGGCTGGAGAGGGGATTCGTCGTGACTGTACAGCACGGCCCTGCCACATGTACAGTAGTCCTTTCCATCGACCATCTCAAGGACACGTTATCAGCTATTGCAGATTTCATATCGTAATGTGGATTTCCAACTAGTTGGATGAACAAATGGACATAAATTATCAAAATACATGTCTATGATGATGGCCATCACATTGAAGAGCTGTTACATGCCTACGCTAAGGCTGCCACTTTACTCATATAGGCTATCTATCAGTTTGACTGGGAGGAGTATCATTGTTGTGGAAGATACTACGATAATACCAGTACATGTTGCCCAAATCCAGTGTGCAGCAACACTGGAGCCTTCTTTGCTCTGCTTGATGGATACTACCAGTAAACGGTGCTTTATACATGGGAAAGAATGGTATTTGTTCGAGGTATAAGCTTCATACATGGGCAAATATCCATACATATGCCGTGTGTATTAATGCAGATGCATACAGTTGTGTACCAGGTGAACCTCACTCAACACTTTTTGAGGCGCCAAGAAACTCAATGCAGTACTACCATAGCATTTCTGTACAAGGACCTACAAGCGTGAGCGCCACACAGAGGGTCAAACCAGGTCAGGTCAATTACTATCTTCCATTCCCACCCATTCTCACCCATTCGAACCACCTCTCACTGGGCCAAGAGAGCTGTTATTTCTCCTCCCGTCCGCCTCTTCCCCATCAACCACCACCACCACCACCTCCCCATCTTGCTGCTGCCCCCCTTCCTGCCCCCCCTCCTGCCAGTGCTCCTCCCCCTGCCACTGCTCTCGCCACAAGGGTACTTGCTCCTCTCCCCTTTCATCCTCTTCTTCTGCGAAGAGTTGTTCCTGCTGCTGCTGTTGTTGTTGCTGCTCATGCTGATGTTGTTGTTGCTGCTCCTGCTGCTGCTCGTGCTGCTGCTGTTGTTGCTGTGACCCCTGGTCCCCTGTGCCCATCTCCCCTGCATGTACCGCCCCTGCATTCATCTCCCCTGTTCCCACCTCCCCACTATCCGCCCCCCCTGCATCCACCTCCCCTCTTCCCAACTCCCCTGCAGCATCCACCTCCCCTCTTCCCACCTCATCTGCATCTACCTCCCCTCCTCCCACCTCCCCTGCATCTGCCTCCCCTGCACCCCCGTCCCCTACATCTACCACTCCTCCTCCCACCTCCCCTGCTCCCACCTCCCCTGCTCCCACCTCCCCCGATTCAAGCACAAAGGCTGCTCCCTTGCACACGGGGCACACGGGGTGCTTGAAGATCCAGTTCAATATACACTCGGAGTGATACGCTGGAGACACGGGAAGAGGGGGGAGAGGGGGAAGAGGGGGGAGAGGGGGGAGAGGGGGGAGAGGGGGGAGGCGGGGGAGATGTGGTGGAAACGCGGGCAGAAATGGGGGAGACGAAACACTCTTGCTTCTGCTCTGCTCCGTTGCACACGGGGCACTCGAGGTGCTTGACAATCCAGTTCACTATACACTCCGAGTGATATGCTGGGGATAGGAGGAGAACGGAGTGGATGGAACGGGGCAAGGAGGGCAGAAGGAGGGAAGGAGGAACACTCGAGCTTCTGCTCCCTTGCACACGGGACACACGGGGAGCCTCACGATTCATTTCACTATGCATTCCGAGTGATATGCTGGAGAGATAGGGGGATGACGGAGTGGATGGAACGAGGCAAGGAGGGGAGAAGGAAGAAGCTCCTCCCTTGCAGACTGGACACACGGGGGCACACGGGGGCACATGGGGGCACACGGGTTGCTTGAAAATCCAATTTACTTTGCATCTCGAATAAAATGCCTAGAGTCGACTCAAAACTCGAGCATTCATTCACTATGCACTCCGTGGAGGAAAAAGGAAAGAAGGGCAGAAGGAAGGGAGAAGCCATTCGCGCTTCCGGCTCCCTTGTCGAGATCATCGAGGAAGATGGGACAGTGCTGTGATCACGGGGGCACACGTGCTGTGAATTGGATTTTCCGCTGTGATCACAGAGGGAGATGGGAGAGTTGAAGGTCAAAGATAGAAGAAATTCGAGGAGACAGAAGGCGGTGAGCTGAAACAGGAACCTACAGTGGGAGCACGGAAGGAAGCACACGCTTTGCCCTTTGTCAAAGTCACAGAGGCAGATGGGACAGAAAAACTCCTCCTCCCCTCTCTCCTGCGCCTCTGCTGCTGCTGCCGCAGCCGCCTCTGCAGCAGCAGCCAATCGTAGCATGCCAGGTGTCGCTGTCAATGCTGCTGCTCCCGCTGCTGCTTCCCCTGCTGTCTCCCCTGCTGTTTCCCCTCCTGAACCCCCTGCTACTCCCTCTATAAGCACCCCCTCCTCTCCTGCCTTCTCTCCTCCCTCCTCCGCCCCTTGCTTGCCTCCCCAACCAAAATCCCCTTTCTCCTCCCCGCCTGTTTTCGCTCCCCTTTGCCCTTCCTTCGCCTTCTCACCTTTCCCTCTCCCCCAAACCACGTGCACAGGCAGCAAATAAGAACCAGCAGAATGAGAAACGCTCGCTCTGCTTCCTCCTGACCTACTACCCCCAGCAGACGCAAGAGAGGCTGACAGAGCAGCAGCAGCCGTGGGAGACAGCAACTCGAGCGGTCGGCGCGCGTTGTCTGCTAGTAAACCGCTGCCGGCCTGCCCCCTGGAAACACCGTTCATCTGCTGCTGCTGATGCAAAAGCTGCTGCCACAGCTGCTGCTGCTCCCATTCCTGCTGCTGCCTCTCAGGTTGATGCTCCTGCTCCTGCTGCTCTCGCCTCTGCTGCTGCCCTTGCTGTTGACCCTGCGGCCCCCCCTGCAAAAACTGCTCCTCTAGTTCCTGCCAACGCTCCCGCCAAGGCATCACCTGCTGCTGCTGCTGCGTTTCCAAACCCTCCTGCGCTCCTCTCCCCTGCTCCCGCGCCCGCTCCTCCTGAAGCCGCCTCATCGACTCGAGCAGAGAACTGCCTCTTGCCGAGCCTATCCCCAAGGCTCGGCGGCGGCGGCGGCGCCTAGCTGCGGCAATGCTACAGATGGCACAGACTATGCAGACGACAGCGCACGGCCACATGACGACACAGAGGGTGATTGCAACTGAGAAGGCGATGCACGTGGTGCTGCAGTCGCCTAAAGTCGTGCTGTTGCCCTCGTTGCTGCTGCTGCTGCTGCCGCCGCCGTCGCCGCCGCCGCCGCTGCTGCTGCTGCTGCTGCTGCTGTTGCTGCTGCTGCCTGTGCTGTTTGTGCTGTTGGTACTGGCAGTGCTGTTGTTTCTGTTGCTCCTGCCAGTGCGGCCGTTGTTCGTCTTGTTGCTGCTGCTGCTGCCGTTTCTGCTGCCGCTGCTGCCGGTGCTGCTGTTGTTCCTTATATTATCAATAGTGGTGGTGGTGGTGGTGTTGGTGCCACTGCTCCCACTGCTGCTCCCAATACTGCTACCATTCCCATTGCCATCCCCGTTACTATTCGATGCATTGCTGCTATTTCTTCCACTTTCTAAGAACCCGGAGTCAGACAGTAAGCGCCCGAACCTAACGGCCTGGTTCGGCCCGAGCCTGGGCGTCAGATGCCACGACCGAAGCTTTCTCCTAGGGTCGGCAGGCACCGAAGCTGCGGATGCAAGGAGGGATGGAAACAAAAACGAAGGGCTCAACCAATAGAAACGAGGCCAAAGGGCGCTGGCACTCGTTAGCGGTGATAGCGAAGCAGCTTGTATCGAGTACGCTGCCCGGCTGATTGTCAACTCGTCTGTGCTTGTATCGGCGTGGCTTATATAGGGGATGCCTTGCGAGTTTGGAGGTCCCTTCCCGGAAATCGCTGCTAGGAGGAGGAGAGGAATGAGAATATTGCAGCTGCGAAGGCGGTTATGATATACGCGATGGAATCGGATAAACGAGGTTGACTGAAACGAGTACAACCCCGCGGCGCTGCCCCCTCGTTCCGCTTTAGAAAGCCTGGTGCTTGCGCTGCTGCTATTCTCCCGAGGCGCCTCGAAAGTAGTCGCGCTGCTGGCGCTGCTGTCGCAACTGCTGTTCCGTCGTTCCATTCTAGAAAGGCCGGTGCTTGCGCTGCTGCCATTCCTGGTAAGATTCCCTCTCCGCCTCGCTCTATCTAAGCATATTATAACCATAACTTTCCGAGAAAGAGAAACAAATAAAGATATTTCTATAACGCGTACACGCGTTTTCTCAGGTGCCGGCGTGTCCGTCCGGTTGCCTATAACGGGAAAACACGTTTGGCCGACCGTGAACATATGCCGCTATACTCGCGCTTCTGTCGCTTCTGTCGCTACTGCCGCTGCTGCCACTGCAGAAACCTACTGCCGGTTCTCGCGCTACACTATACCACTATCCCAGACGCTGCTGCGAACACATCACATCAAAGCTCCGCCTCTCAATACCGTGTGCTCCTATTATATCTCAAGAACGAAGGTGAAATCTCCACTGATTCTTGGATTGGAATGGTGACAGACTCGGTTCTAGATTAGTACCGTTTTCGTTTGTGTTGAACCGTTTCGAACCGTGATACATGAATCGAAATGAAGACGATGCAGCGCGGAATTTGGGTGCGCTGTCGCATCATGCTGCTGCTTTGCAGGAGACAAACTGTACCCGTAAAGAGAACGCGATAACTGTTCTGGTGCAGCTACAATATTTTTCAGAAAAACACGCACACGCAACTGAACATGTGCAAGAACTTATCAATCTCCTACATGCAGCAATCGGGAAATACACACCAACAGGCAGTACCTAATTAGCAAGGCACATAAAATAAGAGAACCTGATTCTTTAAATCAGCATCAGCATGTACAATGAACACATGATGGACAACCCGATACTCACTACTGGTACTTGTCCAGCAACGCATCCAGAATAGCTACTGTTTCATTATCCGGCACGCCATCATAAATCCTGGGGCGGAAATGCATCTGAAACGCCGCAATCACGGCCGACGTTTTCTCATCCAGCTCGCCAGTTTGGGGAGTGTCATAACCGAAGTTCAGCAACTTTTCTTGCAGCGTGGCGATCGCCTGTCTCTGCCCGGTGGGGTCGTCAACCGGAAGTATGAAGGGGAAATTGCGCTGATAGAACTGAACGCGGTCGTCATCCGGCCAGGCGCCGATTTGATAGCGCAGGAAGAGGTCCCGCCAGGGAAACAAGGGACCGGGATCCGACTTGCGGCCCGGCGCCACGTCGGCATGCCCGACTACATTGATAGGACGGATTTCGTGGCGTCCGATAATATCTTGAACCAGCCGTCCGACCACTTCGATCTGGTCCGGAGGGTAAGGGTACCAGCGACGCTGCATAAGGGGCAGCGACTCATCGGCTTCCGGAAACCCCAGGTTGACCGTTTCAATACCAATCGATCCCGGATTGAGCAAGCGGCTCCCGCGCCAAAAACTTACGCCCGCATGCCAGGCGCGCCGATCCTCATTCACAAGCCTGTACACGTGGAAGTTGCGCTGCCGCTCCGGCGCGTCAGGAATCAAATAGTGGGCGCTGACCTCCTTCTTGGGGTCGGTCAGTGTTTTCAGCGAGTCCGCCAGAGATTGCGCCGTATAGTGCAGCACAAGAAACTGCGCCCGCGAATCCTGATTAGGAGTTTGCACCGTTGTATCGACCGAGTACTTCACGCCCCGTGTGGTACATGCGCTCAAGAATGCAGTCAAAAACAATATATGGCATCGAGTTCTCTGAAAACACTGAAGAGAAAATGGCAAGAGTAAATGCATCTTTGTAGATTCTCGCGGGTAGGGATTTGCTTGTGTTATCTCGCATCGCAGTCATCGAGCGCGAAAAGGGTCACAAACGCATCACATCTAGCACCGTGCGTCCCTAACTCAAGAGGAAAGGTGCTATCCACATATCCACTCGGCTCTGAATCTTGGATTAGAGTGGTGCTGTGCCGTGCATGTACATAGACCTCTACGGTCCAGTCGGGTTCTCGAGGTTTTAGACTTGGTTCTAGATTAGTACCGTTCTCGATTGTATTGAAACCATTCCGAACCGTGGTACATGAATCGAATGAACACAATGCGCCACGGAATTTGGGTCGGCTATTGAATCATGCTCCTACCTTACAGGAGAAGAACTACCTGTAAAGAGAACGCGATAGCAGTTCTGGTGCAGCTACACTTACATGCACGCTATTCAACATGTCCGAGAAATTATCAATCTTCTACATGCTACAATCTGACACACTAACTAGCAATGCATATACAGTATGATAAGAGAACTTAATCAATTGACCTTCACAAATCGTCAACATGCACAATGAACACATAATACAATACCAAACTAGAGATGGCAACGATTGTAGTACTGTAGTTTCCTTCCAGCACCCTTTGAACCACAACTCACATTTATAAACTACATGAACATTCATGAGAAGCTATCGACCAACCTATGGCATCACCAACACCACCATGCACAGCCAACATCCTATCCAGTGACAACCACATACCGTACAGCAGCTTTCAACCACCCCAACCACATCCTACCACGAAAATCACTCACATGTCCGCTCATGAGAAGCTATGGACCAACCACCCTATGGCATCGCCATCACCATGCACCGCCAACACTCTACCCAGTGACAACCACATTCGAACAGCATCATCCCTCGTCCACCCTCCATCCTCACACACCCTCCCACAACCACCTTCGTTATTGTCACACTCACTCCCACTAGAACCACCCGACCTTGGAGTTGCCTTGGGAGGGAGAACGGATGTGAGTGTATGAAGCGTGGCTCTATAAGCTAATATAGGAGCTATTTCTGCTGGTGTACCATCCCCTGGTAGCATGATTCGATCAACCCTTGTAGAGGGAGCTCTCATTCTTGTATGCTGCTGACTCATGCAACACTCTGGACTGCTTTCTGTAGGAGTGCTGTCCCCTTTAAGAGCAGCTTCGATAGAAGCAGGCAAGTGGCACCAGTCGTCCTCGTGTGAATGCCCCTCCATGCCACAATAATCCTGGTTCCATCGCCAATGCCCTCCCAATGCATCGGCACCATTGGCAGTGTTGCTAGTGGTGGCAGTGGTGGCAGCATCAGCAGCATTTGGCACCACGGCTTGAGGGTAGTGGCAGACTCGAGTAGAAGGTACTTGAGAGGATTGTACTGCCGCTGATGGGGATAGGATCGCATGGTAGGGGACTGGATCCCGCCAGTCAAGAAAGTCAACACCAGTCTTCTCCTTGCCCCGGTCAAAGTCAACCTCAGTCTCCAGCCCTAAGGGAACTCTCCGGCAAGTCAAAACCCCATCGATGACGTCAGCATCTGCCAGCCTGGCAGTCAGCTCGGTCAACCGAGTCAACAGAGCCAGCTCCTGCCGAGCCTCGGTCGTAGCCTCGGGATTTGGCCTGTGTGCTGCTAGCCAATCAGAAGGCGGCACCTGGCGCTTGAGCTCCTTCCAGGTGTCTGCTGCGCTGGCAGAGCACACCTCTTCAAATCGCGTGTTGCCATGTGGCAGCAGCTCCTCCAGCAACGGATCTTCATCATCCTCCACGTCATCAGTTAGTAATTCCACCTCATTTGCTTCCACTGCCACCTCATCCGCTTCCACTGCCACCTCATCCGCTTCCACTGCCACCTCATCCGCTTCCACTGCCACCTCATGCATCCCAACTGCCACGTCATCCACCTGCCCTTCCACCTCACCACATTCCTCCAGCCCATTCTCGGCTCCCCCCCTCCTCTCATCGCATTCCTGTTTCTCCTTTTCCAATTCCTCCTCCCTCCCCTTCTCAACCTCCTCTCTGCCCTCATCACCCTCCTCCCTCACCTTCTCACCCTCCTCTCGCCCCCTCTCACAACCACCCTGTGCTTCCCCTTGTCCTTCCCTCCCCACGTCTGCTACAACCGTCTCTGCTACAGCCACACCTGCTGCCGCCCCACTGCCTTTCACTGCCTCACTAGAAGCCTCCTCACGTAACCCTCTTCTAACCCTGTCATCTGCTACAGCCTCGTCTGCTACAGCCTCGTCTGCTACAGCCCCCATCGCTACAGCCTCCTCTCCTACACACTCCTTTGCTACAGCCCCCTTTGCTACAGCCCCCTTTGCTACAGCCCCCTCTGCTACAGCCCCCTCTGCTACAGCCCCCTCTGCTACAGCTCCCTCTGCCGCTGCCGTCTCTGCTATGGCCTGCTCTGCTACAGCCTCCCCTGCTGCAGCCTCCCCTGCTACAGCCTCGTCTGCTACAGCTGCTACAGCCACACCTGCTGCCACCCCACTGCCTTCCACTGCCTCACTACAAGCCTCCTTACCTAACCCTCCTCTCACTCTGTCCTCCACTGCTACAGCCTCCTCAGCTACAGCCTCCTCAGCTACAGCCTCCTCTGCTACAGCCTCCTCAGCTACAGCCTCCTCTGCTACAGCCTCCTCAGCTACAGCCTCCTCTGCTACAGGCTCCGCTGTTGCAACCAAAACTGCAGTTACAGACTTCGCTACAGCCTCCTCTGCTACAGCCGAATTTGCTACAGGCTCCGCTGCTACAGCTTCCTCTGCTACAGCCTCCTCTGCTACAGCCTCCTCTGCTACAGCCAAGTCTGCTGCATCTGCTACAGCCACACCTGCTGCCGCCCCACTGCTTTCCACTGCCTCACTACAAGCCTCCTTATCTCCCACACCTCTCACTCTGTGCGTCTCTGACGCCTCCTCGTTCTCCTCCTCATCATCGGACCTCACAACCGTCCTCTGCTTGTGAGGCGCTTCAGGAACCTTGTGCCTTTCAGGAACCTTGTGCCTTTCAGTCGGCCCAGAACTAGGCCCGCTCACTCCACCTTGTCCTCTGCGAATCTCCTCCCCCTCCTCCTCATCATCTGACCTCACAACCGTCCTCTGCTTGTGAGGCGCTTCAGAATCGGGTAATCCATGCACCCCCACTCCACCTTCCCCATGTCTTTCTTGACTGTTCCCTTGATCTTTGTGCCTCTCCCCCTCCTCCCCCTCCCCACCCTCCTCCCCCTCCTCCCCCTCCTCCCCCTCCCCACCCTCCTCCCCCTCCTCCCCCTCCTCCCCCTCCTCCTCCACCTCCCCCACTTCCTCCTCGTTATCTGACCTCACAAAAACCCTCTGCTTTTGAGGAGCTTCAGGAACAGGTATCTTCCCCCTTCTGATTCTTCTCTCCTCCCCCCCATCCTCCTCCTCGTCCTCTGATCTCACAACCGCCCTCTGCTTTCGAACAGGTACCTTTCCCCCTCTGTGCCTCTCCTCCCCCCCCCTCCTCCTCCCCCACCTCCTCCTCCCCCCCCCCTCCTCCTCCTCCCCCTCCTCCTCGTCATCTGATCTCACAACCGCCCTCTGCTTTCGAACAGGTACCTTTCCCCCTCTGTGCCTCTCCTCCCCCCCCTCCTCCTCCCCCTCCTCCTCGTCATCTGATCTCACAACCGCCCTCTGCTTTCTTTTCCTGCCCTCTAAGCTCTTCCTGCTTTCTTCTCCTCTAGTCTTTTCCCAACACTCCCCTCCTCCACCTTCCCTACTGTCTGCTCCCACATCTGCTGTTCCTTCTGCATCCGATTCTGCTGCCACCCTCCCTTTCACTGCCCGTCTTCTAAGCTTTCTCCGTCTCCCCTCCACAACCATATGATCCCTTTTTCCTGAATCATTATCATTCCCCTTTTCCAAATCACCCACTCGTTGGATACCATACCCTTCTGTTTTGTCACCACCCCCCACCACCACCACCTCCTCTCCCTCTTCTTCCATTGCAGCTAATCTCGCTGCCCGCTTTCTCGCTCTCTCCACCCTCTCCCTCTCTTTTTCCGCTGCCCGTTCTGCCCGTTCCAACCTCCTCCTCTCAGCCCTCTCCCTCGCCTCTCTCTCCCTCTCCCTCTCCTCCCTCCTCCTCCTCCCCTCCCATCTCCTCCCAAGCACCCCTGCAACTGCTTCCCTCTCCCCCTCTGCTGCTTTTGCAACTTCTGCAGTCAACAGGGCAGCCAAAAACTTTGTAACCTGGGCAAAGGCCCTGTCTTGAACCTGCCCAAAAAACGCGGGCAGGGATCTGTGTGGAGCCCCCAGCTCCCAGAGGGATTTAATCTTCTCCTCCCTCCTGACACCCCTTGCTCTCTCCATACTCTCTACTTCACCCAATGAGCCTTCCCCCTCATTACAATCACAGCCACTCTTGCCACAATCACACCTGCTTCTGTCAAAGTAACCGTCACCTTTCTCACAGAGAGTTGATTTTCTGGGTAACCAGAATTGGAGGAAGAGAAGGAGGGAGCGCAGGTCGGTGGGGAGAGAGGAGAGTAGGAGAGAGAGGAGGGAGGGAGATGGGGGGACAGAGAGGGGTGCTTGCTCCGTGCAGACCTGGGATGAGAGTGTTGAAAAGGGGAACATAGCACAGGGGATGGGCAGTGGGGATCGGGAGAGGGCAAGGGAAGAGGGGAGCTGGTGAAGGGGATGATGCAGCTGACCCAGTACGAGCATACGACACGACCGAGGAACAGCACTCGCAAGCTTTGCACACACGAGTATGACTGCTCTTAACTTGTGCAGCAAAGGCAGCGCTTGGCGGGCGGAGGGCGTGGTGAAGGGGATGATGAAGCCAACCCAGTCACAGCACCACACGACTGAGAAAAATCACAAGCCCTATACACACGAGTATGGAAGCTCTCACCTTGTGCAGCAGCGGCAGCACTTGGCATGCTGAGGGCCTAGTAAAGGGAATGATGAAGCGAGTGAGGGCTGCGGGAAGGTTGGGGTTGGGAGCTGGAGGGGAATAGGGCAAGGCGAACAGGAGCGAAGAGGATGCATGGGGGGCAGGGATGAGGGAAAGAAGGTTCAATGCGTTATTTCTTGTGTAACTCGTACAGTTTGCGTGTGAATATCATTCGTAGATATAGTGATATGTGCACATATAGGAAAAAGGTCCAAGGTCTCAGGTTCAATACTCACAGTTGGCAGTAAACGGGGCGTTTGTTGCGCTGGCTGGAGGGACTCAGCAGCTGCACCAGCAGTGCAACAAAGCCCGTCCTCTAAAAGCAGAAGGTCTCAGGTTCGATACTCACAGTTGGCAGTTAGGATGATGGGGCGTTTGTTGCGCTGGCGGGAGGGACTCAGCAGCTGCACCAGCAGAGTAACGAAGCCCCTATCCTCCTCTATAAGCACATCCACGTCCTCAAATAGAAGCACCGACGCTCCCATGCGCCTTGATTTAGCCGCAGGAACACCAAAAGCATCACCAGCAGCAGCAGGAACAGCAACAGCAGGATCAGCAGCAGCAGGGGCAGCAGGGGCGGCAGCGGCAGCAGCAGCACGAGAGAAAGGGGTGCCACGTGGCAGGACGTGATTGGTGGAGAGGCGGTGCGAGAAGAGGAGCTCGGAGAACCTTCCACGAAGCAGCGCGCCGTCTCGAGCATCAGAAGCGTTGACCTCCACGACTTGAAAACCGAGAGATGCTGCACAAGCGTATGCCGCTGCTGTCTTGCCGCTCTGATGAACAAGGGAAGGGGAGAGAGGTGTGAAAGGTTAACGGCTTGAGGGCCTGGAAACAGAGGCATTGACCTCCACGACTTGGAAACCCAGGGATGATGCACAGGCGTATGCCGCTGCTGTCTTGCCGCTCTGAAACGGAAGGAAAGGAAAGGAAAGAGGGAAGAGAGGGAGGCTGTTTGGCATGAAGCAGCGCTCCGTCAAGAGCGTCAGATGCGTTGACCTCCATGACTTGGAAGCCGAGAGCTGATGCACAGGCGTATGCAGCTGCTGTCTTGCCGCTCTGATGAAAGAGCAGAAAGAGGGGGGTAGCTTTGCAGCACACGACTTTTGAGACGTCTCAAAAGTCGTCTACTTACACACTGATGAAAGAGAAGAAAGAGGGGGGTAGACTTGCAGCACCCGGGAGGAAACAAGAAGCACCACTCGCTCAAGATAAGGAGAGGCTGAAAGGGAAAGACGCACTCTTTCGGAAAAAGAAAGGCTCTCACCCCCACATGCCCTGTTCTCAGCACAGCACACAGCAGGAAACAGAATCACCGATGTTCTAAAGAAAAGAGAGGCTCTTTCAGAAAAACAAAGGCTCTTACCCCCACAGGTCCTGTTAGCAGCACAGCACATGGCAGCTGCTCCCCTTCCTCCTCCATCCAACCATCCGAGTCACTCCCCTCGTTATAATCACCCTCTGCACTGTAATCACTCCCACTACAGTCACGCTCCATGTCACCACCACCACTGTCACTATCGCTCCATTCCTTCCTGTCGCCACTCTCTGTCCGAGCTCCAATTCCAGATCTCTCCCTGTCCTCTTCATCAGAGCCCCTCCCCACTCTCCTTTGCTTCACTGCCCTTGCTCGCCTGCTCTGCTGGTCACCACTCACTATTCTTCCATCACCCCCCACCATTACACCATCCCCTACTGCACCTGCCCCAACATGAGCATCCGCAGTGGCTGCAGCAGCACCACCAACGCCACCAGCAGAGCCAGGATTACCATAAGCAGCAGTATCAGCAGCAGCATCAGCAGCAGCATC